GCGGTTTACCGGTGGCATAAGCATGCATAACGACCGGTTTGACACCGGCGGCCAAATCGTCGTTAGTACCGGCGGTTAGACAACCGCCGGTCAAGGACGCTGGTAATGGATGAATTTCCTGCAGTGTAAGTTGTTAGAGGCCTCTTGAGGGGCTTAGATTTGTGCTTTGGGTGCATCATGTATATTTTTATTTACATGTTCTACATCTTCAAGATCTATGTGCAAGTTTCATTGAGGGCAAGTATTTTCATTATGGATAGTATTGCCACATGTAAAGTAAGTAACACTAATGGTTTTCGAGCTAGAGGTTCCAGGTGGAGTTATTTTTAATCACTGAGTCCTTGGGAGCTAATGTGGTGAAAGTTGTGAGATGTGGTTGGGATTGCTTTCAAATGAAGTCATAAATTTTAGAGTTTGGGATCTAAGATAATGCTCACTCTGAGCTGGAACTCAAAATGCATCCTCAAGATAGTAAATATCTGGAGTTAATATTTCATGACGGATATCGGTTCTTAACCCATATCGAATTGGGGAACACTGGTATCAGAGCGGTATCCTGGTTGAAGTCGAAGCCTTTCCTTGCTGATTTTTACGGAATTTTCCCCTCCAAAGTCAGATTTCTGCTATTTGAAGACCAAAATTATTGATTTTTGCCTTGGAAGAATGACTTGGAGGAGACATGAGCCAAATTAAAGCAATGGTGGAGTATAAAATTTTCTCCATGGAGGATAAGTTTTCCAACCTAGAGGAAATGATGAAAAAGGTATTGGATCTTCACAACCAAATGACAACATCAGAGGCAAGAGTGCCGGTCGGAGGAAATACAAATTCCGGCCACCGGAGGGATGATCACAATGCGGAGATATTGGAGGGAGAAGAAAGAAGACCTCATATAGAGCCTATTCATAGGGAGGAGATAGGACGGAGGTATTAGGAGAGGCGTATGTTGGGTATGAGCAAATGAGTGCTGATTTTGAAAGGAGAGTGCTTAATCCTGATCGGAGAGGTGTTGATTTTGAAAGGAGGGGGATTTAAAGATGAGTTTGGGTATGAGCACAGAAGGGATGATCAAAAGACTCAGGGGTACCGCCTACTTGGGGAATTAGGAATTATAGACGAATAAGGGGGAACGGGGAAGATCCGAAGTAAGAATGCTAAAGATGTCTATCTTTGAGGGAGAGGATGCAACATGGGTAGATCTACAAGGTGGAGAGGTATTTCACCGTTAATGGGTTGATGGGAGGAGGAACGATTGATGACAGCTAGCCTGTGTTTGGAGGGAAAAGCATTGCCTTGGTACCAGTGGAGAGACATTAGGTGGCCCATACGGAGTTGGGGAGAGTTCAAGGATAACTTTTTGGAATGTTTTCGAACCTGGAGGAGAGAGAATTTTTATTTGTAGTTTTTTTCCATGACACAGGACGGATCAGTGGTGGAGTATGAGGAGAGGTTTGAGTACTTAGCTAGCCAACTGGATCGGCTCTCTGAGATCATACTGGATGAGAATTTCATAAAAGGGCTCAAACCAAAGATTAGGGGCGGTAGTTAGAGTGATGAGGCTTCATGATTTGGGAGAGGCTATGGAACTAGCACAACTAGTGGAGGATTAGAAGCACTTGGAGAAGGGGGTCAGAGACAGCTGTTTTGGAGGCTCATACAAGATGACTACCACATTTTTGGCACCCAAGGAGCCGCCAATGGGTGTTCCTTAGGAGACCCCAAAGGAGAAGCCTGTATGAGGGGAAAACTTCAAGCAGCTCACTGAGGAGCTGGAGGAGAAGAGGGAGAAGGGATTGCACTTTAGATGTGATGAAAAATATATATCAGGGCACATGTGTAAGGACTGAACTCTTCAAACTCTTACTTTCTGTGATGGTGAGGAAGTTGAGGAGGGAGGTGGGAGTGAGGCTTTGGTAGAGGAGGAAGAGCTACATCTAGACATGGAGAAGATCTCCCTGAACTCAATGGTGAGATTCACTCCAAATCACACTATGAATGTAAAAGAAAAAATTCCAGTTAGGATGGTAGTGGTGCTGATAAATGATGGTGCTACTACAATTTCATCTCCAACAAGGTCATAAACCAATTAGGAGTGAATTTAATGGACACAAGGTATTATGGAGTGATGATGAGCACTGGGAAGATGGAGATGGGTAGGGCTGCAAACGAACCGAGCCGAGCCGAGTATGTGAGTGTTCATGTTTGTGTTCATTTAATATCAGCTTGTTTAAGTTTGGTTCATGTTTGTTCGAGCTTTATTGTTTGTGTTCATGTTTGGTTCATTTAAATTAATGAGTGTTCATGTTCGGTTCATGTTCGTTCGTTTAGTACTTATCGAGCTTGTTCGTGAACATATTTAATGAAATTTTTTTAACTATCAAACAAATACGTTCATGAACATATCTATGATCAAACACATTTATAATAAAAGCAATTGTTTATGTAATAATGGCAATGATTATTTATATTTATTAATTTTATAGTCAAATATTAATTATTTTTATCTACCTTATTCACGAGTTCAAAATCGAACACGAATCAAGCTTAATGTCGAGCTTGTTCACGAACTTCAAATGATGTTAATGTCGAGCTTGTTCACGAACTTCAAATGATGTTGTTCGCGAACATAAACGAGCCGAATGCATTAGTGTTCAAGTTTGTTTATTTAAGAATCGAGTATTTAAAATATTGTTCAAGTTTGTTTGTTTAGCTAATTAAACGATCACAAACGAGCTTTAATCGAACCGAACAACGAGTATCTCGTCGAACGTTTGGTTCGCTTGCAGCCCTAGAGATGGGTAGAGGAGTGTGTAGGGGAGTGGTTTTGACCATACAGGGGGTCCAGGTGAGAGAGGACTTTCTTCCATTTGAGTTGGGGAGCATTGATGTCATCCTTGGAATGAAATTGCTATAGACCTTGGGGGTACCAAAGTTAATTTGGGAACACTGACGATGGAGCTGGTGATGGAGGAAAGAAGGGTGATGATCATGGGTGATACTGGGTTATCCAAAGGCATTGTGTCTCTCAAAATCATTATGAGGACCATACAAAAGATGGCAGTAGGATTTTTGGTGGAGTTAATAGTGCTTAGAGGGGATCAAATTGGAGGAGGGGGAGACATACCTCCTTCAGTATAGCTACTTATACCGTAGTTCAGTGTGGTCTTTCAGCCATCGCAAGGATTGCCACTACCGAGCGAGCGAGAGCATGCCATCACCTTAAAGGAGGGGGGGGGGTCTCCGATTAGTGTCAGGCCATACCATTATCCTCAGATTCAAAAGGACGAGATTGAGAAGCTGATCTGAGATATGTTGGAGGCAGGGATCATCAAGTCGAGTGTGAGTCATTTTTCTAGCCCGATCTTACTAGTTAAGAAGGATGAGAGAAGGAGATTTTGTATTGGCTGTTGGGCCTTAAAAAGGAGATTATGCTAGACAAGTTTTCCATTCCGGTGATGGATGAGTTGATGGATGAGCTATGTGGAGCAGTGGTGTTACGAAGATGGATCTGAAGTCTGGATACCATCAGATCAGGACGAGAGAGGAGGATGTTCTAAATATCACATTTAGGGCTCACGAGGGACACCACGAGCTCTTGGTGATGCCTTTTGGCTTCACTAATGTCCCTGCTACATTCCAGCCACTCATGAATAGGGTGTTCCGGCCATATCTCAGGAGATTTGTATTTGTTTTCTTTGATGACATCCTAGTGTACAACAAGCCAGACGAGGAGTATTTGAAGCACTTGAGGGTGGTTTTAGAAGTGTTACAACCAGCTGAGGGCCAACCTAAAGAAGTATTATTTTGCACAGGCCAGCATGGAGTACTTGGGGGCACGTGATATCTTAAGTGGTGGTGGTTGCTGATTAGTCTAAGATTGAGGCAATGCTGAAATGGCCTCTACCTAAGAATATGAGGGAGCTGAGGGGTTCCCTAAGATTGATTGGATACTATAGGAGATTTATGAGGGGATACAGTACCATAGCCTGGCCATTGATAAAGTAGCCGAAGAAGGATAGCTTCTTATGGGGAGAAACGGCTACCTATGCCTTTGAGAGATTGAAGAAGAGGCCATGACCACGGTAACAGTCCTGGCCTTACTAGATTTCAGCCATATTTTCATGGTAGAGACTGATGCATTGGAGTATGGATTGGGGGCAGTTCTCATGCAGAATCACAGGCCCATAGCTAGAGCTAGGCTGAAGTCAGTCTACGAGAGGGAGTTGATGGTGATTGTGTTGGCTATGCAGAAGTGACGACCTTGCTTATTGGATCAACATTGCATCATTAGGACAGACTAGAGGAGCTTGAAGTACCTATTAGGGTAGAGAATGGTTATCGAGGATGATTAGAGATGGCTGTCAAAGCTGTTGGGCTATGACTTTGAGATTCAGTATTGATAGGGTTAGAGAATAAGACGACTGATGCATTTTTTTTTTTTGGAACTTGAAAATTGTTCTAGTGTCAAGTTTTTAAGATGCATTAAAATGAAAACATTTGGACAGACCCTATAAATATGGTTATTCGTGAATATGCATCACATTTTTATTTATGCATTTTATATGAACATGATAGAAATGGGTTATTATTCTTACTATAATAGTATATTTAAGACATTTTTTTGGATCATGAATATGTTAAAATATGTAGTCCTTTGGGGTTCACCTAACGACTACGAGCATATGAATATCTTTTACATATTCATATTGGCAAATAAATATAGTCTCTCTTAATGATCTTGTAAAAATAGTTTGTACATCTTTTGAAAATTCATTGAAATAAGTATATAAACTTTCTTTTGATACCGAAAATGATCCCTATTTAGTAAAAGCAACTAGGATAATTATTATGGCTTATGAGAACCTCTAAAACAATATAAAAGTTTGCTCTGGGAAACTTAATATCTAGTGCTCACCTTGCTTTCTTGAGATCACATGTATATACTGCTTATTCGTTTTATTCATTAAGCTTGCTATTTTGATCATCTTATTCTGCTCCAGGTCAACAACATTAGTGGATATCTTCCGGGTCGAATTGTCTTTTTCCTGGTACTTTTTCAACTTCTAAAATATTTCTTTTCAATATGCGAAGAAAAATCAAATGTATTGCCAATTATGTGGCGAACATAAGAATCTGTTTTTTAGTTTTCTGGTTCACCCTTCAAACAAAATCCATAGATGCAGTGGAATTTGTCCTGTTCTTATTTTTGTCTTACCGGATGGCTTACTGTCTCTGAGCTGACAGTGTAGGAGTGGGAGTCATTACCCTCAGTTCTCTGCTGGAACAACGTAGTTTTGTTATTCATGCTTGGATGTAGGCTTCAGTTTGTTGTTTGTTGGACATTGTGGGCTCTTATAATGATACGAGCTTGTTATGATTGCTAAAAACATATCCGAATCAGAAATGCTCTGTGGAGATGCTTTGTGATTTAATATGAGCTTAAGCATGGCGGATAGATTGGAGGATGGTTGAACTATAAAAACAAAAAATTATGATCTCTACTCATTACATTCAGTTTCCTCTTGATTTTCTTAATTCATAAGCTAGTATCAATGAGATGAACATGTAAAATAAAGATGCAATTAACAAGTGGATTCTGTAATCCTTTAAAGTAAGTTCATTCACCGTGACAATGTGAAATAGAAATTTCGGCCCTGGAAACCTCTCAGTACTTGCTTTCTTCTGAAATCTCCCTGGTTTCATCTCATTAAGAAAAAGCAAAAAACATGTAGGAAGTTACAAGGAAACAATGAGTATCCAAAGCATCAAAACCTCTTGTAAAATCAAACAGTTGCTTGAAACAGATTTAATGGTTTACATTGATGATTGATATCCGCATCATTTTATTGATGTGACTTCTTCACCATCCATCCAAAAATATGTTTGTGAGATAACATTGAGCCAAACAAATTTTCTCCTTTTTTAGGTTGGAGAGACATCTATTGTTCCTTTCCTTCCAAATATTCCACACTGCTGAAAGAAAGAAGTCTCAAATTGCCATTGAATCTTTCTTGATATAGGAGTCTTCTCAACAGGAAAAAAATATTTTGATACAATTTGCCGTTATCGTAACTCCAAATTTTCAGTATACCCTTCTCGTAGTATTTCAGATAAAACAACGGTTAAAGAAGATATTAATATTATCACGTCCCTCTAATCAATCATGAGATATAGTAGAGGTCCGGAATTTGGTCATGTATATTTTTTCACTAACATCCATCATGACTTTTACTGTACAAGATCTATAGTAGGAAGAAAATTAGTTTATTTAGATTTGAAACAGACGCGTATGAATAGATTCAAGAACCTCAGCTTGAGTTGATTAATCTTTCCCTTTCTTAGCATTAATTACCATTTTGGAAGTTCCAAAAAATCTAAATGATGAAAGTAGTGGAAGCTCTTCTCACCCCTTTGCTTGTCTTTATAATTTTTTTTTATTTTTTTAATATTATTATCAATTTTCCTATGCTGTGTTTGCAGGTCAACACTCATCTCACACCACGCCCTATTCTGCTGACTCGGCATGGTGAAAGCCAAGATAATGTTAGAGGAAGAATTGGCGGTGATTCAGTTTTGAGGTTTGATTTTTTTCTCCCCATTTTTTTCAACTTGAGCACTTCAGTAAGGGTAGGATTCTTTTCATTCAAGAAGTTAATAGATTATCATTTTTTTTATAAGTTAATAGATTATCATTAACTTAATTTTGGTTAGAATATGGGGTTTTGTACTGTAATTCAAGCAAACACATATTAGAGCTTTCTGCAGCATGCATGAGAGAAGGATGTCATTGTCACGTTCATCATCATCCTATTTTCAATAACTAAAGCTCAATGAATTTTGTTTTGATTGATTTAAGAAACACACGTCCTTTTCTTTTACTTTTTGAGCTACATGCTATGTAACGTGTGTCTAATTATCTTTCTCATGGTAATGTTCATTTTCAAGCATCAGATAATATGGATAAAAGACAGGTTCCTCTCTGTTTATATTCTTCAGCAATTTCTGCGGGAAAGAAATATTATCATTATTTAATCTAGATAACTTTCGTGTTTGAAACAATTCCAGGAATCCTTATATTCACATTGTTATGATAGGTGAATTTTGACACACCTTTTATAGCCATTTTTTGGGAGAAGGTAAAATGTTGTTATTACTTCCAATAACTGAATGTTTTCCATTATTGAAAACGTGTCATGCTAACTATCTGTTTTTGCAAACCCATTGCTGAAACAGTTTTAATTTTAATTCTTAATTCATTATTAACGTAGTAACATATTAATTAGATTCCTTTGAACAGTGACTTGGGCAATATTTACTCGAAGAAACTTGCAAATTTTGTTGAGAAAAGACTGAAATCTGAGAGGACTGCTTCTGTAAGAATTATTTTGATCCCTTCCTCCCCCCCCCCCCCCCCCCCCCCCCCCAAAAGGGGGGGACTTACACACACACACACACACTCTTCTTCACTTATCTCTCATTCTGTGACTAATGGCTTCGAATTTCACTAAAGGAATGATCAACATATGCCTTCTTAACTCAATTACGAGAATTCATATTGTTATGTATCACATTCTTTCATTTAATTTTGTTTGCTTATGAAGTACTATTGCAAATGATAAATTTATTCCCCTCTGTTAATAGATAAGGCTTTTGAAAGAAATTCTTTAAGTTTGCAGGCAGGATAGAAAATTTTGCAGATTGATGATGTAATTGTCTTTAAATAATTTCCTGCATGCTAAATGGCAGTAATAGTTACTACTACAAAGTGTTATCATTTTCTTATTGGTGCTATTATGAATTTGATAATTAACTTATAAATTTTCAGTTTTGATGCTATTATGACCTGTGGGCTCCGAAAATTCGGCCCCGGCCTCCCCGCCGCGCGATTTATTTTTATTCGGGAGGGAGTTTTAACGGACTAAGTTCCGGGGTAAATTTTGGAAGGCAGATGGGTTTGTAGATAAGACACTACCCAGAGATTTCGCCCTCATTTTGTGAGGACTTTATGATCTGAGTTCTGGTTTCCTATAGGCGCAAGCCCCTATAGTTAGTTACCCCCTCCCGATCACGAGAGAGAACTTTCGATTAAGGCTAGTCGTCAATCAGATACGTATATAATACGTGTTATCTGGCATATAGTAGCAGCATAGGATTTGGATATTTGAAATGTTTGGAGGTTTGGAAATTGATTGGGAATTGGGAATTGAGTTTTAATTTGGGTATTTGGAAATGTTTGGAAAGTTTGGAAAATTGATATTTAAAACAGAAATTGCACCATCTTAAACTTAAAGCGGATGGTGGGGGAATGGATGATAGACCCGATAAAGATCCCATGGTTCCGTCATCCCAGGCCATCGTGGTTCCTGGTCTACTTAGTCAGAGGAGGTAGTCGACCCAACCTGACAGAAGGATCCTTGTCGGCAGCCATGGGTTGCTTCGTCTAAGAGGACCTTATAGACCGGGGTTGAATGTTTGTCAAAGGGGACAAATTTGAATCCACCTTAGCTAACAGAGGACTTTGTGCCCTATCGATCATATCCTATTGATGCATATTATCTCAAGGAATTTAACGTCATTAAGGAGCGTATTGGCCCTGCCAAACCGCTATCTGTGGTGTCATTTGGCTAGGCAAAAACCACTCGTTTAGAGTGGCCCGCGGTACATACCGCTACCTGCTAGTGCCATTGGAGCGAAATTGCCTGCGTTTAGAAGGACACGTGCCACGTCTCCTACTACTGGAGAGTGTTTGAAGGACTAGTGATGATTTCGACCATGGCCTAGTCTTTTGTGAGCTGAAGTGTTTTAATTTGATCCACCGACAAATCTGTTGCGGAGGGTGTGATGAAGTTTGCTTTAAGTGTGTGATATTAGATTTCAAAATTATAAAATATTTTTGAATTGGATTGTGGATGGAGGCTTTGGATTTTTGGATTTATGGTTGATTTTGTGGATTTTGGTTTTTTGTGGAATCTTTGACGTCCCATCTTGTGGACCTATTCTAAACGTGATGGCCCTTGAGATTTTCCTGTAACAACGCCATCATCGGGGGTGTTTGGGGTCATTCTTTTATGGAACTTGACCTTGTCAACTCTGTAGGACTTGTCGACAGAGGATTAGGTTTCTGTGTAGTTGGTGAACTTTATCTAGTGATACATAGTTGTAGGCCTGTGAAAACCTACGAACTATGGTAATTATGACAAATATAAAACGTACGCCACACTTATATCAATCTGTTCGACTGTCATTCTATTGACCCGTATTAGAAGGATCGGTCGAACCTAAACACTTGTCAATCCGCGCAGCATCCTAGACGCTCCGTGTCTTGTACCAATAACACCTCGCTTAGGGCCCATGCGGGGATTGATAATTTACCCCTTTATAGTCGCCTGATGTGTATACAAACTATTTGCACCTGTGCGGGCGTATTCTTGGGAATAGACGTCTTCTGTCTGTTTGTACGGGACGTTGCCAGATCCGGTGGGTTGTCGTTAGCAGCTTTTGAATTGAG